TGGATTATCTATCTATGCGTTGCTGATGTTGTTTGTAAGAGTTTGGGTGCATTGTATGAAGAGAGGTGTGGATGCAGTGAACAAACTTATTATGTCATTCACCGGAGTTTGTATACAACAACAACAAGTAACTTGTCGTATGTCGAAACTAAGTTGTAAACAGCGGTACGCAGCCCCTTTTGAACATAATTATAATCAGTATCTCTTAACATCCAGCTACAGCAGTAATTACATCTCTAAGTTTTCACATGAGCTTATGAGTTCGCAAATTTTGATGGTTCAAAGAAAATTACTTTAAAATTAATCTCCTTCGAAGTTAGAAGTTTGATTCTGTATTGTGTTAGTATCTTAAAAACTCCACACGCAGTGATGGATCTGTCTCGTTCTGAAGTACCAATACCAATTGAGTTTTGTTTATGCATACCAAGCATCAAGATATGGGGTAATAATTATTTGACTATTCGTACTGGCTCTCAATAATAAAGATGAATCTGTTGTGTTATTAAAATGGATACCCAATTTTATGATGTTATTGATTTTCCGGTGCTTCCCGATCAAATACTGATATTTCTTATTAACAGTAATATAAGAGTAGCCTTGCCCCAAATTACCGGATGTGGCGATAACGTATAGAAACTAGTCGATTTATGACCCATGACCGGTCCCAGTTTATCGGTAATTAAGTAGTAAATATAACAATAATCGCAGATTAATTGCTATTGTTAATGTCTGAGATGGACGTAGAAGTTCGAAAGCTCTTTCGCAAATAGAAACGAAGAACATTAAAGATATTGTAAATCTGGACGCCCTGATGCGTTAATACATCTCCGGGCGCGGTGCTTTATGGACTTCCACACGAGAAAATGCCATAAATTCGAACTCTACATTAAGATAACTTGCATTCTGCGGCCATGGAAAGAGGAACGGCGCGGCTTCGTGTACTTTCGTCTTTCTTTTGTTTGAAACTTATATTAGGAGTAATGGTCTTTGAAATACTGTCTAATTTGCTACCAACCAACCACTTTGCCAGTTATTTTTGGACAAATCTACTTAATGGTATGAAGGTTTTTTGCTGTTTATTAATCTAGAAGTTTGCTAATGCATGAAGACAATTCTTTACATTGATGACCAAGAAAAGTGAAATAAAAATCTAAAATACACATTCACCTACATACCAACCTTTCAATGATTAATGTTCGAATGATTCAGTTGAAGGATTTACGAGTCACCATGGAAAGATAAATTTCGTTGTTGGAGTCTTACGGCGACCGTGCAGGTCTTTGCCTCGTTTCCAGGCTATTCAGATGCCTTTTGCTTTAAATCACGAATTTCTTGGCGACTCGTTGTAATGCTTAAAATGATATGATTTATTCGATCCATTCTTTTAACTATCTCTTGCCGCCTGTTACTGTCTAGGTCACTGGGCAGCGTTCGAACAAATGGACTATAAACTAACTTTTAAAAGCGTTTTATCAAAATTATCATTGACAGCGAGAGCCTGATTCACGGTCCGCGATATTCATTAGAAGAAATCAAATTTTATGATAATTTCGCTGCACATAAACCAACATCGAATATTCATTCGATTTTATTGTGGAATCTTTCCAGAATTCAGTAGTTTTTCTACAGGGTGTCTCAATGTCCAAAATTTATAGGAAAGTAGACAAAAAACCTTTTTTGTGGCAGGCTGACGGGATACTAAAATGTGGCGTGCTACAGCAAGGCCCAAAAAACATTCCACGGTTGTATAATTATGAAACATATTTAGTAATCATCATTACCATAAGGTCGTCAGTCCTAAGAGTGGTTGGACACGCACCTCCACTCCTTCCTATCCTGAGCTAATCCTCGCATTTCCCTAAAACTAGAATATCCCACATCCTTAACTATTTGTGAACAGTAGTCTAATCTAGGTCTACCTCTGCTCCTCCTAACACCTGTTTATGCCTTTAATACGTTTCTGACTAGATCTTCATGCCTGAGGTGTCCTAATAAACCTATCTCGCCTATTTCTTATTGACCTCCGTAGAGTTCTCTATTCTTCTATTCTTTCTAATATCTCTTCATTTCTAACCTTTTCTATCCACAGTATCCTCATCATTCGCCTATAACACCACATTTCGAACGCTTCTAATCTTTTCTTTTCCGCCACGCTCACCGTCTATGTTTCGCACCCGTGCCCCGCTCCAAACATACACCTTTAACAACCTTTCTCAAATTTCTTAATTAATCGTTCGCGAGCATAGAAGTGACTTCTTTTTATTGAAAATGACTCGACTCTGCGCTATCATCTGCTTTATATCCCTACTACTTCTTCCGTCCTGATTTATCTGACATCCTAGATACCTAAAATCAGTCAATTCCAAATTTTTGATCTCCTAGCTTTATATTCAGTCTTTCCCTACTCTTTCTTCCCTTGCAAACTAGTATTTTTGTTTGACTTTTATTTATTTTCATACAATACTGTTTTGTCAACACCTCTTCCATTTTATTTAGAGCTATCTGTAACTCCTCCTTGTTAAATACTAATACTGCCATATCATCTGAAAATCTATCTGTATTAATCTTTTACCCCTCTACATTCATCCCTACAGTCTTTAATGATGTTGATCGAGTCTTCGATGTATAGATTAAAAAGTAGCGGTGACAGTGTGCATCCCTATTGGACTCCTTTCCTAATATCTACTTCTCTACGTTGCAGAACCAACTGTACAACTGCCTGTTGCTCTTTATACAAACTAAGTATCACTCTTCTATCTCTGTTACTCATCCCTACATTTTTATGTATATTTAACATTTTGTCCCATTTAACACTGTCAAAAGTCTTTTCTAAATTTACAAATCCTGTATACGCACTCTTTCCTTTTTCTATCGTTTTCTCTATTATTACCTGTAAAGGTAGAATGGCCTTCCGCGTTCGTCTATTTCTTCTACACCCAAATTGGTCTTCCCCTAATAGTTATTCATAAGTCATCAATGAAATAAAACAGGAAATTGCTTTTTATGCCACAAACAGTTTAATAGAATCTGTCGATATCGGATTATTTACCCAAATAATTGTATTAAAGTTTTTGAAACATAAAAAGCAATTTCCTTTTTAGTCATTGAAAAAACCTCACGTACGTATTTCGTCACAACTTAATTATCATTTATACTATTCATCATTCCAGAGCTGTCAGTTGGGGACTGCTCGAACGCGCATCTCCACTCTTCTTCACATCCTCAGCCAATCTTTACTTTTCTTTAAAACTAAAACATCTTATATCTCCGACTGTTTATAAACTGTGTCAATAATTTTCCTTAGCCCTTTTACATGAGACTTTTTCAAATATTTATTGTTACTTTATGTGACAGGATGTGTTTCAGCACTTTCTTTTTTTATTAAAATTTACTTTTAGTCTTCTAAGGATTTGACTCGAATATGGATTGTTTGAAAATGTTTACCGCAATCTTTTGAAATGTTTTGTGCGGTTAATGAAGAGAAATGATTGTAGTGCCTCGATAAATTGGAATATTGACTGTAGACTGTCTGATGGGTACTTGATCATGATATTAACGATCTCCATATTTGATATCTACCTCGTTGAAAGGTCTCGAAAAGTTTCAAGTAAATTCTACACAGAGAAGGAGCTTCTATAAGCTTACCGGTCTCAGTTATTACATAATCATTTTCCTGGAAGCTACGCGTTTATATTGAACGCGAAGTTGGGTGAACATTTTGGTTTGCAACATGATGGATAACGCGAGACATGTACATTATGGGCCTCTTATTCAGATAGAGGCATCTCGAAAAAAAAAAATTTAAAGTGGTTTATTAATTTTTATTTCCAAAACTTTTTAGGAACTAAAATATTAGCTTAGGTGGCAAAAAATTTGAATTTAAAATGGTTCACGTTAATTTAGAAATTGTGTTAGAGGCACTAAAAATTTTTAGTGAGATTGTTCGAAATATTCTACGGGAATATAAAAAGGTATTCCTTTTATAAAGATGGTAATGAGGTCGAAACACAGAAAATTAAATTTTCATATTATGTAGTCAATGCTGTAACAAAAAGTTAATAAATAAAAAACGTACCTACCTTTAACCTTGGATACACTTCTTAGAACACTCTTGGCAAATATATGTGATAAACGGGGTTGTTAAAACAAAAAACGTCATGAATTGCAAACTGTAACGTGAAATAGGGGCTTGTTTTAAAGGCCAATATTTATAACATTTAACATTGGTGTTACTTTGCAAAGGAAATTCCTTTCTGATCAAAAAGCTATAAATATTTTACATCACGTTTATCGCCAAAATGTGAGACTGGGTATTGCTGGGTGCGCCACAGCGGTATTGCGAGCGGAATGCGCAACAACGCTACTTCGGGCGAGTTGTGTTACACTTGCGGAAGCGATCCGCCACAACGGTATTGCAGGCGGGAAACGCAAAAACCCTACTGCGGGTGAGGTGCGCTACAACAGTATTGCGGGCGGGATGCGTATCAACGTTATTGTGGGCGGGGTGTGTTGCAACACTTGCGGAAATGGTGCGCTACAACACTATTGCGGACTAAGTGTACTACACTTGCGGAAACGGTGCGCGACAACAGTTTTGTGGGCAGCGCGAGCAACAACGCTACGGCGGGCGGAGTGTGCTACGATACTTGCGGAAATGGTGCGCAATAACACTATTGCGGTGGGGTGTGCGATAAGACTCTTGCGGAAACAGTGCGCTACAATAGAGCTGCGGGCAGGGTGCGTAACAACGTAACTGTGGGCGGAGTGTGTTGCAACACTTTCGGAAATGGTGCTCAACAACACTATTGCGGGCGAGATGTACTACACTTGCGGAAACGGTGCGCGACAACACTATTGTGGTCGGCGCGAGCAACAAGGCTACGGCGGGCAGGGTGCGTAACAACACATTAGTATGCGAGCTGTGGAGCAGCTTTCGTGCGAGCGAGATGTGTAACAAGACTCCCTCGGGCAGGTTTTGCAATAAAAAAAGCTTCCCTTTGTGTTGTTTTATTCCACAGAACAGAGCATACATCATTTTTTCTTTTGTTTTTAAATATATTTTTATATAACATTACATTGTCTATGTACAATTTGTGGATTTAAAGTGCATTTGATAAGATCATTGTAATTATTCGTGTTACACAACAACTACATACGTACGACTTGAATGGATACGTGTTTTTTATCATCGACATTAATTAAAATTTTAACGTGCGTTATTAAGAACAATTCAATTCATGACAAAAAGTACATAATTATTATGCGCTCATTCTTTCAATCTCCCTCTTTCTCTCTCCGTTCCCGAGTTGTCATTAACTAATTGTATTACTTATGTATTTTCAGTTAATTTAAATGGTAAATTATAACATTTTCCGGGCGGCTTACGGGTTTCACACACGCATCGTAAAAATAACTTAATTTTTAAAATTTCACAAACCTTTTCAGAAAACAAGGAATTTGGGATTTAATTTGGCACTTATTCGTTTAAATTTCTTATTTATAAATAATTTGGTTTTGATATGATATAGGGCTAAAGCATAATTTATTAATTTTAATGAAGTTGTACAGTTTAAATAAAAATGATGAGAATTGAATGAATCTGTATACATCTCTTTATTAACAAAGAATTTTTCGAGCTTTAAAATTTTCAGAATATAATTTCTTCAGAAATTTCATAACATTTCAATAGGCTATTTTTTACATTATCTGACAAATTTTTAAATAAATATCATGTTTAGGAAAAACCTTCATTCCTTTAAATACTCTAAAAGTTGTACAATAAAATTATTGAATGATCGAAAAAATCAGCATAAATCATTTATGGAAATGTGCAGGTTCCGTGTTTTATTCAGTTAAAAATAGGTACCTATCTATTTTTTGCTGGTAGAGCGGTGTAATAGTACCATGAGGCAGTTAAACTGGTATTTAGACGTATACATAATTTGTAACTAAAATAAATGGTGCTTTCATTTAATTATTAAAATTACATGAGTGTGACTCCTTTGATATATCAATTTCTCCTTCCTGGTAACTAACTGATAGATAAATGCGTTGGTATTTCAGATTCACGAAGACGTAAGGGACCAAATTTTAACGAAACGCCATAATAATATTCGATTGTAAAATATAAAAAATACGATTAGAAATAGGAACATAGTTTAAAAAATCACATAAAAGAATCACTTACGGTCTTTTCTTTGTGACTACAATTATTTTTAATATAATAATAGAGAATCACATCGACCATTCCTTTAAAATACATCATTACAAAACGACTTTTTGTTGAATTCGACGTTCCGTCTTAATGCAGCCATTTTATGACCAGCGAAAAGTAGATGACTGCAAACAATCGTGGCAATGTACCGGGCAAATAAGCTGACGAGTTATGCCACAGCAGTTGCTGGTTGTTGACGGTCTGTTGATGCTGATGAACGCTTTTAATACTTATCCGTCGAACGGCTGCCCGCGGCGGTAGGGGAACTCCCGGCAGTGCGGTTTCGCAGCGTAACTCGATCGTGTCGCCCTCTTGTGAATGTTTACGCTCCGCTTGAAACACGAGCAATGCCGATCGGGATGTAAGGCCATCTTGATCGGGTTCTGATGCAGCGTTATTCCTTGTGAACAAGCTCGCCTGGAACGGGAAAGACGGGGATCATGCTGTTGTTTGTTGTTAAGAATAGGAAGGTAGTGTGGTATTTGACGCTTCGAAATAATAATAAATTAATAATGAGATAAGTATGTATACGCCTTCCATCTCCGCTGTCCGCATCCAGTATCGGAGATGGAAGGAGTTTGCTACTCGTTCTATTAACGAAACGTTAGGAAGCAATTCCAACTCACGACGGCCTTTACAGCCGAATAAGAACAGCATCTGCAAAAAGCAATTGACTGTTTCTTTGACGCTAGAGGCAGACCAATATGGAACATAAAATGAAGTTCAACAAGCGATTTGATGACAAAAGAGTAATGTTTCAAAGAAACCCTTTCAAAGGAACTGCTCCATTTGCTTTTAGCTGCATTGTATCCGTTAGTGTACTGAATTTGGATTCTTCAAGAAAAGATTTAAAATTAAAAAAATATTTGCTCTGGGAAANCTGTTTCTTTGACGCTAGAGGCAGACCAATATGGAACATAAAATGAAGTTCAACAAGCGATTTGATGACAAAAGAGTAATGTTTCAAAGAAACCCTTTCAAAGGAACTGCTCCATTTGCTTTTAGCTGCATTGTATCCGTTAGTGTACTGAATTTGGATTCTTCAAGAAAAGATTTAAAATTAAAAAAATATTTGCTCTGGGAAAAGCTTTCAGACTAAATCAGATTTTTCTTAAGAAACGAAAATCATTGTTATTATCATTACCTTGCAGTATGGTTCAGGCTCTTCTTTGTATTGATTGAACAATATGTAATTACGAATTTTAATTTTAAGTTTTTGAATTAATAAAAAATGATAATAGTTTTCCATGTTGTAATTAGATTAAAAGAAGCAAATTGCAAATTTCGATTGAACTCATCATTACGTGGAGTCTTCTGATCGTGTTGTACAATAAAATTCATCAGTTTGACAACAGTGGCGCATTCTAGAGCGTGAAAGCTTAGCGTTACTATAATAAGAGCGAGCGTTATAAACAGCGACCTGTCAACAGAATTACGGGGCTTTACCGGAAATTGCGGCCTGGCCATAGTTAAGAGTGATCAGCCCTAACCACCAGTTGTACTGATTAACTAAACAGTTACCGAAATGCAATATCCATCATCAAAACGGTCACAGTTAACGAAGGTGTACGACGTGAATGCAATTACTAACTCCCCCATTCATTGTCGGGAATTTATTCCAGGAATTTATGAATTAAACGCGTCAAAGGTTTTTCCGTAGAACAATAATTACAATTATTCAGTAAATCCTGCGAACGTTTTAACAAATGATTTGCTGGAAACAACTTTATATTCGGCGAGTTGAATAGTTGACATTTTGTGATAGCAAAACAAAACGCAAACTACTACCGTTTTACATGAGATTCAGATAAAATATTTTGAATGAGTCTAAATGTAGAACACAACAAGGTACCTAGTGATTCTTCTTTTCAGTTAAGTCGTTGCTTGATTAATTTTGAAAACAAATTTAATAACAGTTTAATTTTTATTGGCACCTAAACTTCATTTATTAGATGAACCCAACGCTAAAGAAACTATGGATTCCATTTCTTTCTCTTATTACAATGTATAAATGATCGGAAACAACATGCGGCTGTAAACATTTTGATATAAAATGATTGATGTTTTTGCAACCCTATTTTGGCTCTGATCTTTCACGCTAAAGAAACCATTTTGGTTACAGTGTCTTTTTGCCAATTAAAACGGGTGACAAAGGTAAATAAGGAAGCATAAATATCCAATACTATCCTTACTGTTTTTAGATTTTGAGGTTAACTTTATTTGGACTCACAGAGTTGATGAAACATTATCAACTTAAATAAGATATAAATTGATTAGGCTAAATGGGGACTTTTTAATGCAGAGGGCAGAAAATTTGGTACACTAACTTTATTAATCTTCTTAACATTACCTCAACATTGTTAATACGCCATGTCAGAATTGGTGCAGGGTCTGAAGGATATGATGAGCAATTAGCTGTTACTGTTTCCCCTTCTATATAACTTTCTTGCAAACCTTCTATCCTTGGTCCAGACTCTGGTAAAGCTGAAAGCAAAACCACTATATTAGCTCTTCACTAAACGTGTTTGTTAATCTTCAATTACAACAAGAGATCGTAGTTCTTCTAAATCAATAACCTTGTGAACTTTTTAAACGATGTCACTTAAGCTTCGAATTATTTTATACCAGGAAGTAGTGAGACGAAAAGTTTTACTCTGATGTCTCAACAACAGTAATATGAAGCATCCAGGTTAAGACCGTTGAGGTGATGAAGTGTTGTTAATCTTCAGTTGCTGAAAATTGGGGTTAGAAGCGTCTAACAAGCTTTGACATGCTCCAAATGAGAAATTAAAGATCAATGGACTTTACATAAGTACCCCGTCGCAGCAATTGCTTTGAGGGTTAATACAACCATTGGCGCTAAATTACACGCCAAAGTCAATTGTCTGATGAAACAGTCAGCTGCAGACAACGATGAGGAATTGAATTAATTATGCGACATATTGTTTGATAATTCACTAGGTCACACTTCATTATGTGACAGATAAAGGCGTTCGACGATTATTGTCATTGATCACATAAATGACTTGGCTGTGTATTGATTGAAGTTATAATTTATTGGAATTATAGACGTTAAAAAGAAGGAGAAAAGAATGTACCATCAACTATTATGAGAGTTATTTAGCACATAAAAGACATCAAGTCCTTGATGCTCAGAAATCGGAATTTACAGCTGTTGGTTACAATAATAAAATATTCTTTATCTCTAACTTAACTTGAAAAAACATTTGGAATTGGGGTTAATGTTTATTCCTTTCTTCCATGATTGCTCTCCTTTTATAAAATAATAACCAATGAGTAATTTTAATGGTCTTAAAATAATTAAAATGTGAAAGATAAAGTACTAACTTGCTACAGTGACGTTACGCGTTTCCGAAGCAAGCCGAAACGTTGGTGCTTCGGTGGAGATTTCACATCTGTAAGCTCCAGAGCTATGCGGTCTTGAAAGTCCACTCAAAACCAAACGGCAATGACTAAAGCTGCAATCCCACTCATCTGAGAGCAAGTGTACCCCCGGGACGTGAAAAGTTTGTTTGTGGGGTTGTTGATGGGGCATGTACCGAAAAAATTCGTGGTCATCTTTATACCATTTGACAGCGTACAATTCCTCATTTTCCATGTCGAAACGGCAGTGTAATTCCATCGGACTTCTTGTATCGGCTACCAACGGTATAGTCATGTTTGTGAGCTTGAGACCTCCAGCTGTAAAGAAGGTCAAATGTCAGTATTTCGCCTGATCTTTAACGAACGTTATTTAAAATTTAGTTAGCATTCTTGTTGGACCGTATTATCCCTGTGCAAGTCTACGGGTAACTAGTTTAGTAAAAACAACGAAGCCCAGCTTTCAAATTGGTAGCGCTGTTTCGTAAACCACCCCTTTTACTGTCAATTTTTGTTAGTTTAAGATGTTTGTTTATTAAGGAGATGGCGTTTATTATTACGAAGTATGTAAATTTCATATTTTAATGGGGTCGTGAATGAGATTTGATTAGTTTAGTTCGTTTTCGTTTATAGTTTAAGAAGGAACGGAAAGCGTAAGATGTGTAAAGAAAATTAAACTGGAATTTATTCATTTCTAGGCTATAACTCTGAAATATGTATTGGTAATAAACTTTATCGTAAAATTTATTCTTACTACTCGAAAATGGTCCCATCAAGCATTATGTTTTATCATTTAAATGAAAACGAAATGTGTGCTGGGACACATAGTAGAAGTGAAACATCAACGGACAAGTGGGAAAACGAATGACAACGGACAAGTGGATAAACGAATCGCAGCAAAATCTTTAGACATAAATCCCTATTATACTTCATTTACTTTCTCTAGCGATGTGCCCCTTCCAATGTTTTAGATGGGGGTTGGCAAAATCGTAGGTAGGGAGAAAAAAGCTCATTATACTCTCGACTCCTGTTCATTAAACATACTTTTTCATACAGCACCTGCCAAAAGTTTTGTTCAATCATGATAGTAGTGCGAGTCGAAAACAAGCGTTAAATTCTTTAATATGCCTTCAAATATAAACAAACATCTCGTTGATATTTTTAGTAGTAATTGGTACCAATAACAGCACATTTGAGTAGTACTGTACGGATTGTACGCTCCTCACCGGTTAAGAGTTTGGCCGAGTGTTGTCTCCTTTCTTTTTTGACCTAGTACTGTTGTTTTCTACTTTGCGCCAGTCAAACTAAAGGTCACATCGCTAGAGAAACTAAACGAAGTATACTATGTATCCCAGCACACATTTTGTTTTCAGAGGTTTGCTGAAAATTATGATTTAATTTTTACACAGACCGCAAATAGAGGCAATGATGCCCAGCCACATGGATAGCAGAGGTATGAAAACAACAGCTAAGCACAGCACACGTCGCCGGGACTCTAGCGGATTCCTCGCTCTCCGCTCGGCTGTGCATTATATCCATGTAATACAGCCGTTGCCCTCTCTCCGCCGCCGCCAGGCTTTCTCATCCCCCGCTGTTTCACCACGCGATATACCGTCTACCCCCTCCATGCTTTTTCATGACAGATAAAATCGTAATACCCCGTCACTTATATAGAAGTTTCACTTCAAAAAAAAAATTAAGTTATCGAATCGAGACAGCAAATTTTGAATTTAGTTAAATCCTCATTAGTATAGGTATAGCATTAGCAACTTCGATAAATCGTCGGTCAAACCGAAGTTGTAACGTAAACGGAAGTTGATATAGTATGAAGCTATTGGTAGTATATCGCCCTCTACTGGCATCAGTGGAAGATCCACTCTCATGTTATCTTTATAAAAGGGGGCAATTATATTGATGCATTTGTATGTGATGTTTGATTTTTGTGTTAGTAAACGATTTGATATTCCCGATGAATGTAAATAGTTATACATCAATATCCATTTGATGTATAAAACTTTTGCCTGTTTGTTGACGTTCCAGAATGAAACGGTTCGTCAAGTGTGCCATGAATTTATTTATTAATCAGGCAACTAAAATCTGGTGGAATATTGGATTGAATAATTACACAAATAGAAAGGGTATTTTTCGAAATTCATTTGACGGCTTTTGAATTCTAGCGGAGCATTTTGACTCTAATTAAACATGTAACCGTGTGTGCTGCAAAATACTGATTGTATGTGAACTTTTGCCTTTCTGGACGCGATGCTTACTCAACTATGTAGAAATCGAATTATAAATTAAAATTAATTTAATACTTTGTTCGTTATTTTTGCAGTTATTTCAGTTTAGCTTTGTAGGACCGCAAAAAAAACTGTCCACAGATTGAATTTCGGTTTGTGATTGTTATAGAAAATTAACTTAGATTACAGTAATCAATAATCCAATATATGACCTTCCAGTTTAAATTAATTTACAACCTCAACTTTAAAACTTCTGTACTCAGCAAACACGAGCGATGATAATAAAGCTGCCTACAGTAATGCATACTAAAAGGTACGGTTTGCGCCCCATTCCTTTGGTAAAAATACCTGTTGAGGATACAGATACTTAAAAAAATATTTAAAAAGTTTGGAGCACGGTTTTGTATGTGCTCAAAACAAAGACAGTAGGTGTGTAAAATAGAAAAGGTTAGTATAAGCGTTTGACGAGGACGATGAAAATTCCGTGGATAGAAAAGGTCATAACTGAGGTATTAAGAACGAGCAGGAAAGCAATCAGAAAAAGAAGAAATAGGATGGTAGGTCCCTTTTGTGACAATCATGTCATGTTAGAAACAGAAACAGGAGTAAAAAGGGGCAAGAGTATACCTAGATTGGATTACTTACTGTTCGCAAATAGTAAGGGGCGTGAGATGTTTTACTTGTACAGAAATGCAAACTGGTTCACGACACAGAGTGAGGGTGCGTGTCCAACCTGTCGTCACGAACTTAATAATGATGGAGCTACAATAATTAAGGTTGTACATTGGAAGTAAGGAAACTCCAGGAAGCCTGAAGAATGTGGTTATGTTCAAAATTTTATTCAAGAGTAGTTAAGTTAACGGGGTTTTAACTACTACGTTTAAGATCCCGCTAGCTTAACTACTACTGTCAAGTACGCGCTCGGTTTTTACTTAATGTATTTTTGAATTTTTAAGTTATTTACGTTTTGAAATGGTTCAAGGTTTTGTTTCTTTTCTAGCTTTCCGTTTCTAAAGCCTTTTATACGCATTGAATGTNCCCAGAACGTAGGTACGACACACACATTTACAAATACGGCGCACATGAAGAAAGGCGCCCGCGGCTAGTCGGCGAATCGATAAGCCGTTCACGCACACGTGTGCCAGATCGCACACAAACACACTAGTGCTCGCTACATCTTTCTAGCATTGAAAGTTAATTAATGTTAACCAATTTCAACGAATTTAATGTAATGTAATCACCTGCAGGTTTCAACAAGGTAAACTAGTTTTGTTTCTCTTTACTTTATAAATTCGATTTTCAATTAGATACGTTTATTTAACTTGCAAAGTGAATTTCAACCAGAAGGAGTGCTTGTCTTGTTCCTCATTTTTTACAAAAAGCAACGAACAACTTACTTCAACCGTCTATGAGTCTTCAAATTCAATTTTTATTTTTCCAATGCAAATTAGTTAAAGTACATAGCGAAATGTTCAAACTTCAAAAGCTTCCGAATCGATAAGGTAAACATCTTCGGGTCTGTTCTTGATTAGACTTTGCATAACAGTCGACGTTTCCTGATTCTGACACGAAACGGATTGAGACCGTTTCAACCAGTGAAGTAATGACGGCAGCTTGTTCTCTCTCCGCCCTCTTTACGCATTTCTTTTTTTATATCTTATTTTAGGCATAATTCACTCCGCTTCCTTCAATTTATTTATGTTCAAAAGACATACGGGTTTTAGGGAGTTGTTTTCATAAACGAAAATTATAAATACGGTTGACGAAAAGGGAAAATTCAGAGGGTTAGGTCAATTTAAATAATGTAGGTATAAAGATAAAATTTTCTTCCTTTTTAGTGTTGTTGGCCACTACTGCATTGTAATTCATTCATCATCCTCCGGGTTAATTTGTCGAGGGTATAGCGATAAAAAAGGGACCACTAATTCAGAACAACGACTGGCTGGGGATGAAGATAAGAAGATAAAATAGTTTTTTGAATTCGTAAATGAAATTGTCTGTTAATGCCGTTATTCACTCAATGCATAAATTATTCATCTCTGGAACCATGTGGAAAGCTAGTAAAATGTCACCTGTGTGTTATATTGTGAACATTCAGGTAAATCATGGTATTAAATATTTTACTGAAAATTCAATTTCTGAATTTTTTACCCACTACACGCTACCTCAAATTAATGAGGGAAAAATTGTTGCTGTTGTCATACCCCCGCCGGGAACCGAACCCGGGATCTTTGGCTTTACGCACCAATGTTCTGACCACTAAACTACGAAAGGTGACAACAGCAACCACGACTAACCGACCTACAGGGTTGATAACAGCAACAATTTTTCCCTCATTAATTTGAGGGAGCGTGTAGTGGGTAAAAAATTCAGAAATTGAATTTTCAGTATAATATTTCATATTAAACTAACTCACTTCTAAAAGGATGTCTTAATTGTATATAAGTTTAATCATGGTATTATTGTAAACTAAGTAGCATGCGTCAGTTAGTAATCAGTTAATAAATGTACTCTTACGTGTGGCAGTCTTGGGAGTAATTTCTTGAATGCAACGGAAATGTGTAAATTATGGAACAAGAGCGCACTGTTCAATGAATGCTGCTTACCTGCCTACAGATGGCGTTGAAGAGACAAAACTATTGTTCTGATAACCTTGGTTTGGAATAGCCCGATACTTGGCATTTATTTTTCAATTACAATAAGTTTGCATGCGTTATAAGAAAACATAAGTAACAAAATTTAACTTATTTAGCACCGTTTTCACACAAGGATTTTTCCAAATTAACGGTTAATTCAACGTTATCCTTTACGATTAGTGCAATGTAAGGAAGATCCGAACAGGAGCACATACCTGAGAGGTTTACTAACAGTAAAGTTAGCTGACGATGCTATCGATTTTAAGGGGGCATCTATTAAAATTATAAAGCTAATTTCTTAGTAGAAATAAATTATTATCTTTATAGATGTAGACACTTATTCTGGTAATAACGATAATCATTAATCTATGTTAATTATCTTTCTCAAAACTATAAGTATAAATGAATAATTTAAGACAACAGGATTTTCAAACACTTTTATATT